CAGAGAGGCTGGAGCCCATCCCCAGGGCTCCTCCTAAAGCTGAACTCGGGATTTTGGGATTTTTAAGCTCTGACTGCAGGTGAAGCCCAGGCTGAGAGCAGCCCTGGGGTTTTGGGGTGACCACAAATCCCAAAAACATGGCATTAGGGGAGAGCAGAGAAAGAGCTCCCAGGCTTCCAGGGGGATAATTTGGGGGAAAGGAGCAGCATATCCCCCAGCTGAAGTGCCCTGGGATCACCTAACCCCATGAAATGGGAAGGGCTGTTTTGGTGACCTATTTCTTCTGAAGTGGCAAGCTGCCCTTTATCAGAAACATGAATTATTCATGTTCCAGGAGCAACTAAAACCCTCACATGGTTTAGTCCTTTTTTTAAAAAATATATATAACTACATTATTTATATTTATATAAATATAAATAATATATATATTTATATAATTATTTTGTAAATAATATATATTTACAAATCAGGAAATCCAAAGCCCCATTTTAAGGGGGAGAAGATGATTTTTTTTTCCTCACTGCCATGGGCACAGCCTGGTTTATTTTCACTATTTCCACCCAGAACAGCCTTTTGTTTTCCCCCTGGGCCTTGCTAAGGCACAGCTCTGCAGGGCCACGCTCCTGAACGAGCCAGGAGGAGCTGAAACAGTCAAGTTCAGACTCTCTTAAGCTCCTGCCCAGCCCCAGGAACGAGGGAGGCCCATCCCTGGCACGAATCCTCCCTGTTCCTTGGCAGGGGCTGCCTCAAGCACTCGCTCGACTGGATCCTGCTCAGGAGCTGCTCCAGCTTCTCCCAGACACAGCCCTGGCTTTAAAACACAGCAGCAGGAGCTGCTCCTTGCACAAAATGGGGAATTTTAAAGGCAGGGATCCCACTCTCCCCTCTCCAAGCTGGGGGGGAAATAAAAAAAAGAAAAAAAAATCAGATTTTTACCTCGTCCAGCTCCTCCAACGCCACGGCCCTTCTGCTGCTTCTGCTGCTGCATCCCACCACGGCCTCTGCCCTTGGACACCACCTCCTCCTTCACCATGTCAATGATTTCGTCAGGGATCCGCAGGTATTTGATGGTGCTGCCACGGATGTAGCACTCTGGCATCCTCCAGAACTTGTCCCCGTCCTGTTGGGGAGCAGCACGTGAGGCCACGAGCCAAAACTGCTGCTTTTGGGTCACATTTGGGGTATTTTAGGGATTTTGAACTTGTCCCCATCCTGTTGGGGAGCAGCACGTGAGGCCACGAGCAAAACCCGCTGCTTTTGGGACGTTTTTGGGATTTTTAACTTCACCCTGTTCTGTTGGGGAGCAGCACGTGAGGCCACGAGCAAAAACTGCTGCTTTTGGGTCACTTTTAGGGATTTTGAGCGTTCCCAGAGAGGGGGAGAGCTCCAGCAGTCTTTGCTGGGAGCATTATATGTGACCAGCTGTGGAAAATAGGAGGTTTAACTCCCCAAAACACAGAGCCCCACAAACAAGTGCAGTTTCAGTTTGTTCCCCTCAATCAGTGGCAGAAGAAGAGGGTGAGGACACAAGGCCCTTGTTCCCTTCTCACACGAGAGGGGAACTGAAAGTGGGACCAGAAACACGAGTTAAAATGGTGGTGAACAAGCAGCTCTGGTCAGGAGAACGCAGCTGTGGCCAGGATTCTTCTCCAGCTGGGAGTCACCCCTCTCCTTCTCTCCTCTGGGGTGTGGAAGGAGCAGCGAGGCAGCTCTGCAGCCAGCTGGCTGTGGGCTGTGAGCAGCTGAGGGAAAGAAGGAACTCGCACATTTCATTTTTTTTTTTAAATAAAAAGCCTGAGGTGCTCACTGTTGGAGCAGCCACCTCCCTGCCCGGCTTTGAGCAGCTCCAGGATTTTCCTGGGATATCACAGCCTCTTCTAGGACTGAGCCCAGCAGGGTTTCAGCTGTGGGAATAAGAAGCCAGAGCTGAACAACAACTCTGTGGCCATGATGTAACTGGGAGGAGGGACTGGGAGCCGCCTGGCCCCAGCTCCAGTACTGGGTTCTGCTTTGTCGGGCCAGGGTTTTATGAGCCCTCCAAAGGGAACCTAATCCACCCAAGGATAGCTTGGCTGTTACCTTTGGAGGCGAAGAATGGGCAGGATGGCTTCTGCTGCAGTGTTTGAAACAAAAAGGTTTAATAAAAGGCAAAACAATAAACAGAAAATCCGAGCCAGGTACAGAGGTCTGCTCCTGCTAGAAAACACCTTCACAAAAGCCTCGTGGTCCTTTTGTTCTCTCCTTTTCTACCTTATGCCCCAGGCAGGACTTTTTGGCTCCTATCCCATGAGGTGACCCCAAGGTTTTAGGGAAGCCTCTGGGGCCCTATGAGGTGGCTTTTCACCTGATCGTTGGCAGAAACTTCTGGGCTTCTTTCCTTTTTTGGGGGACAAAGGCTAGCTTTGCCACTCTGTCATCAGGGGCATTCTCACTCCTACACCCCAGCAGGGCCTGGCTGCAGCCGGGGGGGCTCCAGCCCGGCCACCCTCGTGGGGGGCAGGCGCCTGCCTCGTCCCAGGAGAGGAGGAGGAGGAGGAGGAGGAGGAGGAGGAACCAGCCCGGCCGTTCCTGCTCGCTGGGGATGCACAGCCCTTGTTATTCAGCTCTGCCTGCACGGGCAAGCCCAGGAGGAGGCAGAGGAGCAGCAATCCCCTCCCAAGAGGCACCCGGCAAACCCCACCCTGCCCTGGATGTGCCTGGCTGCTCCTTGGCTCGGCGTGCAGGAAGGGATGGAGCTCCAGGCTCCTTCCTCGTTCCGGCCTCCCCCGAGTAAACAAGAGGCTCCCGGCTCGTTGTCCCGTGCCATCTAGTGGCCAGTGCCACCAGTGCCACCAGATCCCACCTTCACCCGGGCTTTGGGGGGGTTTGGAGGCAGCTGAGGCTGCTCTCCCACGTGCTGGGTCATAGAATCGTGGAATCATGGAATGGTTTGGGACTGAAGGATTGTCCCAGTTCTACACCTGCCACTGCCCCAGGTGGCTCCAGCCTGGCCTTGGACACTCCAGGCATGGCACAGCTCTGGGAATTTCAACCCAAACCCTCACCACCTTCACAGGGAGGAATTCCTCCCAGAAATCCCCCCTAACCCTGCCCACCCTCCGTGTCCTGTCTTTCCATCCCTTGTCCAAAGTTACTGTCCATGTTTTGTCAGTGCCTTCAGGCACTGAAGGCCACAATTAGGTGGCCCCAAATCCTCTCCTCTCCAGGCTGAACGACCCCAATTCCCCACGGGAGAGCTGCTCCATCCCTCTGACCACCTTGGACTCATCTCCACGTCCTTCTCGGTGATCCCTCCCCACAAAACTGAGCTGCTGCTCTTCCCAGGCAGAGCACCGAGCCTTTGGAAGCAAATTTCCAAGGAAAGGGAATCATCACCCGTGTCCTGGGCACGGGTAAGACTTTGCTCAATGGAGGTTCCTCGTCCCACCATGACCCAGCCACAAATTCCAAAATTCCACCCCAAAACTCCCTGCAAACCTCACTCAGGGTGTCTCCCCTGCCCCAGCAACACCACTCCACACTCCTGCGTGGACACAACGGGAACTGGGGGGTTTGCAGGGGGATTTTTGGAAGAACAAGGATCCCTGGCAGCCCCTCCCGTGGAGCTCTGGCATTCCAGGGCTGGGAAAGCACAACAACAGCTGGAATTCCACCCAGCTGTGCCTCCCACAGGGATGACACCAGACACTTCTGATGGAGCTCAAAGGCCAAAACACAGATCCCAATCTCCTGGAGCAACCCTGGCCAAGGGCAAAGGTCCCAGAGCTTCCAAAAGTCCCTTTCACCTCAGTGGGTGAGCTCAGCTGGATGTGCAGAGGGGAGGGAAGGAAAGAGAAAAAGAGGTTGGAGGGAATAAAAGAGATTGGAGGGAATAAAAGAGACTGGAGGGAATAAAAGCAATTGTGGTGTTTGGGGCTGCCGGGGACAGGTAAAGGCTCTGGATTTTGGGAAACCTGGATCAGCATCACAGCACGTGGGCCCCACTCCTCACCCAGGGGGGTGAGGGACCCCAGCCCCTCATCCTGTGGCGTGCAGAAAGGGGACACCTGCACAAGGCTGCTCCCTAATTACGGGCATTATCAACAATTAAACGGACATTATTAATAATTACATTAAATCTGCATTTCAGGCTCCACAGGAGCGATGTGAACCCCAGCAGAGCCAGCCTGGCTGCGGGGACAGAGCCGGGGAACCTCTGGGGACAGATCCTGGGCTGCCAGCGCTGTCTGCTCCCGGTTGTTCCCCGCGGACCGGGGGTGCCCCCGCCCGGTACCGGTGCCGGTGCTCCATCCTTACCCGTGACGTGCAGATAACCTCGCGCAGGTTGATGTTCATCCAGTTGTCGCAGCTCACCAGGTGCCCGTTGTAGGTCTCCCCGTTCTTCAGCTCCACCAGCTGCGAGGGAACAGCGGTCACGGGGCGCCGGTACCGGGACGTGCCCGGTGCCACCGCACGGCACCGGCGAGGGGAGCGGGGCTGGGCCGCGCGGCCGGTACTCACCATGGGGTGGTTCTGCGCCGTCTTCAGCAACGACAGGGGCAGCTGCGAGGGGAAGAGAGGAGCAAGGCCTCAGGCACCGACCGGCAAAGGGACACCGGCCGGGGCACCGACCCGCGCACCGAGCGGGGCACCGGGCACGCCATCCCTGGCGGCGGGGAAGAGACGAGGCAGGCCCTCCCGTCCGCTCCAGCCCCCTCCCGAGCCCGGTTCGCGGTTCCCGTTCCCGGTGCCGCCGCTCACCATCGTGCCGGACCGGGAGCCGCCGCCGCGCCGGGCGCTGCCGCTCAAACCGCCCCCGGCTCCGCGCGGGGCCAATCAGAGCGCGGCGCGGTCCCGCCGCAGCCAATCAGAGCGCGGCGCGGTCCCGCCGCAGCCAATCAGAGCGCGGCGCGGTCCCGCCGCAGCCAATCAGAGCGCGGATCGCGGCCGGGCCGCGCCGCGCCGCCCGGTCC